GTAGGGACGGATAAAGTCCAGATTGGCCGCAAACGCGCAGGCCGCCCTCCGTCGATAGGCCCGACTCGGGCCAACCCTCGCACGACTGGCCCGACGCGAGGCACCGGCTTCCTTTCGCGGTTGGCTAGCGGCACACCGGCGAGAGCTCACCGAGGACAGTGTGCCTGGCGCAACCTCTGAAGATCGGCCCGCCGGCGCCAAGAAACTGTCCCGACGACCGACCGCCCGCCCGACCGCTCGCCCCCCCCCGCGGCGGCTCCCGAGTGAGCCGATTGTCCCAACAAAGCCGGCGGCGGCTCACGGTGCTGCCTGCTGGCTGGCTCTGCAAAGTGCAGCTATCCGTAACACCTCCAGGGGGCATATGTCCATGTCTTTGAGTGAGCCGGTGTGTGTGTGTGTGTGTGTGTGCGTGTGTGTATGCAACATCCATAACTTTTCCGCTGGGAAGGTGTCCTGCCAGCAGGCTCCAAAATCTCATTATACCAGGCAGGAAATGGGTTTTAAAGATCTCTCGGCGAGCCGCGCTCCTGGAAGCGAGGGCCACGGGTCTTCATATATCAGCGGCACGGACCTGGAGATACGCCCGCTTGCTTCAAGGCAGCTGCACTGCAGCACTACACCAAAACACACAAACCAAATGGCGAGGCGCGTTCTGTTGCATCACACAAGTACCAACTGTTGCGGTCTTGTGCAAATTAATTTTGGGCTGAGAGTTTTTGAGATTTAATGAATTTGAATTCTTCCACCGAGTCTTGTTAAGGGAAGGGCGCTTATTCCATGTGATGTTAAATACAGCTCAGCGGAACGATGAAGATGAAAAATAGCAGCGCCTAAAGTCTCATTAGGGGATTTTCTACATTTGGGTGAAATGTTTAAGTGTGTAAGCTTGTGTACACTGACTGGGGAGTTTAAAAGAAGGAAATGAAGGAAGCCGAGAAGATTAAGAGAAGGAACATTAAAAAAAAATTACAGTCTGGAATTTATTCAGCTATTTTGTGGCATGCAGTCGTATGTAGCGCAAGTTTCAAAAGTAGGTTTAATAATTTAGGTCAAATGACTAATGTCTTGAATCCTCATTTAAAGTAGCTGCCAGGTGCATTTTCACCTTGAGCCGTAATTATTTACAACGTGGAGCTCGGGTGTGACCTGAGCAAAGAGAAGCCAAAGAAACAGCAACCCACTAAACAAAATCCTTTAACCCCGAGCAGGCTCAGACTTTTGCAAATAGGAACGGAGAGCTTATTTTCTGCTCATGTTATTTTATATAAAATCCCCAAATTCTCTACGACACACAAAGCAGTAAACTCTATAATCAGCACAGCTGTCTGCAGATGTTCAGCAGCATTTGTAACAAGACGGTAGATTGTCCAAGAAAAGTCTGGCAGTGTTTTGCTTGGAGCTAAATGCTAATGAAAGGTTGCTAACACTAGCAGGTATTCACCATGTGCACCATCCGAAGCTAACATCTGCTAATTAGCTTAATTGGGGCTAGTTAGCTAAATTATGCTTAATTAACCAATGTATTGAGGACGACGAGAGCCTACATGTTATATATTATAGTACAGATAGTTATAGTATGTTCTAAAAAACAATGATAGGGATCTCTTTAATCATTTTATTTTCAATTTCTTTCATCTATATTTTTGTAAAAAGAAAAGCTTTACTTAGTAAATCCTGTATTGAAAAACTACATTGCTTTACATTAAATTAAATGTGCCTACAGGAATAATGACCAACAAGCTCCTTTATAAGGCTGTTGGAATATATTTTATTTCATTTATTCAAAATAACAATATAATTTATACAGTAATGCCAAAAAGAACGGTTTCATATCGGTGGATTCTGGGAAACGAGCTTCCAAGCACTTCTAACGTCATCAGATCGCTTCGGTCATACTCTGCCATCCCAATGAAACATTTGTGACACTCGCCTGGGCGGGATGCTCAACTACGATGACATGTTGGGTTGTGCATTTAACATGCGTTTTTCCTGCATATGGATCTTTTATAACATAATTCTAGAAATCCGCCTTATAAAGCTCATCAAACATGTTGAATCGTGACTTTTGCATTTCTGCAATAAAACACCTGATCCAATAAACCGTTTGCGTGACTCTTTACACAAATTAAGACGGTGTTCATATTCATTATATTTGTCCCCGTTCGTCTGAATGTCAATTAGTGCAAACAAGATGTTTACCTTCACTGATTGACTTCATTCTGGAGGAGCAGAGACACAGAGTCTCTGCTCCTCCTTACAGATTTCACCGTTACTCTGGATCCACTGACGCAACAAAAACAACCACAAAGCCGACCGCTGGAGAGTAAATAACAGCGGAATTTCAGGCTGCCTGTAAGAGGAACCCCACGTCGGGGGGCGGCGCTTCGGCCTGTGGAGTTTGAGGGTGAGTATGTCGGCCGTCTGTGTCCCGGCTGCACGGGGGAGAGGCGGGGGGGAGCCCGGGGGGGCTGTAGTGGAACACTGATGTTTCACTTCACAGAGGGGGGAGGGGGGGGGGGGGGGGCGCACACACTCCCGCTGAACACCGGAACAACACTGAGAGTCTATTAGGTGAATTGATATCGCCGGTCGCCGGTTGTCCTTGGCTGCCCCCGCGGCGTGCGAGCGGGAGGCCGAGATGTACCCCGGCGCAGTGGAGGGTAATGGGGTGTGTGCCATTAGTGTTGTTCGGTGTGGGGGAACAATGTGCCAAAACGTCCCATCTGCTCCGCTCCCCCCCCCCCCCCTCCAGCCGCGCACACACACACACACACACACACACACACACACACACACACACACACACACACACACACACACACACACACACACACACACACACACACACACACCTCCTGATGCAACGGAAGTCACAGGGAAACGAGAGCCTTCCTTCCGTCTCTGTCCGATCGTGTAATGAGAAATTGCCAACGTGACGTCTCCAAGTGCCTTTTGTTCCCCTCCAAGCAGCTAAAACCAGAAGAGGCTCATTTTTCACAAATTAAAAACCAGGCTTTTTATTGCTGTACTGAACTTCCCCTCATGCAGCTCCCTGTTGACTGTGGTTGAAACCAGCAGCAGCATCATAGTGGAGGTTTACGTCCACTGAAGGCGGCAAAAAGAATAATACAGGAGGACAAAGGGGGGAAAAATGAAACTAAACGTAACTGGAAAGTCTCCCATTATACTTTTCTTTTTGTTCTTCTCCGCCTATACAAGCGCAGATGTTTGGAGGGAAACCTCCTGCGTTGTTTTGCCGAGTGGCACCGGACCGACAGCCAGTTGAATGAGATCTACTGCAGTCGGGGGGCATTAGGGATGACGCTGAAAGGACGGCTCGTACATCATTGAGCATCACTCGTGCTGTGCGCTGTCGCCGGAACACAAATTGGATCACCTGCGCACTAACGCGCATCTGACACGGACGCACACACGCGGGATTGTGCCAAATGCACAACGCTATTGTTGTTGAACTCACGCATCCGTGGGACTTTATTGGGCTTGCAGGAACCTGCAGTTTGTCTCTCTTTAAAACACACAGACACGCACACGGGGGCCATTTTCGTTGCGCAGTAATAAATGCCACATTACTGTGATGCACCGCGGAGGACCGCGTCCTATAAAAGGTCGCTGTGATGGAATCTCCATTTGACATGAGATCAGATCCCAAATCTGAACCCCCCCCCCGGGACCCCCCAGCCTTCTCTGGCAGACGGATCCACCGGGAGCTGACGATTTATTAGCGAGGCCTTTCGATAAATCTAAATATTCATCGTTCTAAACCGCAGGGATTTGGAGTCTTTTTGGTTGATCGCGTTTTCCAGCTGACATCGTCGCCTCAGCAGCGTTTTAATAATCAATCTTTACAGCCAATGTCTGATTGAGAGATTGCTTTTTGTTCTTTTTAAAAAAAATAGAGCCACGGTGGCTGTACGACAATTGTGTTTTTGTTGATTTGTTGATTTAAGGGCTCGTACTCGGATCAAAAAGTGGCTTCCAGTACCAATGGCATAATTAAATGTAACATTTCCAGCTGGAAGGAAAAACCACAGCAGCTTGTGGGGAAAGAACCAAAGAGACGATCAAATGGTGGAGCGGCTTCTTTAGTAAATGGAGAAAAAAAAAAAACATTCAAACTTAATAAAACTTTTAAATGAAGGTTGTTTTTTGGGGGGGGGGAAATTGCTGCAATCAAATACAAAAAGGTTGACATTGAAATATTGAGACACTAACTGTTATGAAGAAACTACAGACAGCTGTTAATCAGTATTGCTTCTTTCTTTTCTGCTTAAAAAGACTATTTTATACAGCTCCTTATTATCGTTACCTCTATGATTTCATCGAGGAGTCAAACTGAGTTGGTGTTGCATATTTCAGTCAAATTGAGCATTTGGTTTTGTAATTGATTGAAAATCAAACATTCTCCTTCTAGCTAGGAATGATTATTTTCATGTTGATAAATGGTGACTATTTCCATGAGAAGAGTCGCGCAGCCCAGCGGGACGTCATCAAATCGCTTGTTTCCTTATATTCGACGCACTGCGATTTGTGAGAGAGGAGGGGAGCAAACGCACAACTGAGAGGTGCAAACAAGAGAAAAAATACTCATTTATTTGAAACAAACGGAAAATATAAATGAAAGTCCCTTTTTTTGGCGTTATTTTTGTTAGCAATGTGTTATTTTTACAATAAAAGTTCAGGACAGGCCCGGATCTCATGCGGAGATTCCCTGCTGTTTAAAAAAAAGGCCGTCTGACATCTGACGCTAAGCGAGGTGACAGCAGCCTTTGGTCATTGTACTGTAATCCCCCCCGCCCCCCCCACCACACCCCTCAGAACAACATCAACCCCCTGAGGCAACAGTGGGCGCTCCCATCAGCTGTGTGTTTAAGCCCATTCGACACCTCGCGCTAATCTCTGCACACAGACCGCGGCGTATAAAACGCGTGCGCTTCAGCGTCCGAAAGCGCCGTCTCCAGCATCAGCACCTTCAGACAAAGATGGATCTCAGAGCAGCGTTTCCCCTTCTCCTGGTTCTGGGCCTCGGTTGTGCCGAACAGGGCGGCGTAAGTCCTCGCTCACTGAATGCAGCCTCTTGTCTCCTCTACTCGCCTCCCGTACCGTCGCTGCTGTTCTTTGTGTAGTTTACGTTCTTCTCCTTTCCCCCCCACAGGATCACGGCGGTGCAAATGGTAAGAGGCCTAAACTCAAAGACTGAATCAGGTATGACCGGTGAGATTCGTTGTAAAATAAATGAGTGTTTTGCTTCCATGCATGTATCATAGAAGAGGATCTAACCACAGTTATTATGAAGATGAACAAGGGTGAGTCACCAGTAAAGTTCCACCCATATTTCTATATTCAGTCACGGAGAACATACCGGATTTGATTTTCTATTTTCTTTTCTTCCCACAGGGTCAGATGGCTATCTGCTGGAAGGAGATATGTTGATCCAGACTCAAAGGAATGCCATACGGTGCAGCAATCCAAGATACAGCTGTCTCTGGCAAAAGGGCGCCAGCGGGTACGTGGAGGTCCCATTCGAGATCAGCGACGCTTACGGTAAGTTTAAGAAAGCTCGCCCACCGGTGTCTAATTCACACACAGACCCCCTCACTAATGAGCCACTGCAATTCCTGATTTTAGACAACACCGACAGGAATGCGATTCTCGCCGCGATGAACGAGTTCAAAGCCAAGACCTGCATTCGCTTCGTTCCACGTCAGAGGGAGATCGCGTACCTGAGCATCGAACCGAGAGCCGGGTGGGTCAACGTCTAAAAAAATGAATCAGTATGAAGGCAAACTGCTGCGTTTGTGACCCATAACATGGACACCAGCGTACTGAGGCAGCAGCATCTCTTTCATACATTGACATTAGTAAAGGTATTTAAAGCAGTTTGAGTGCAGAACAGTTCTATATCTTTGGCTTTTTTGGGTGGTTTTGTATGAGAATTAGTCTTCAATATGTCTGTACAAATATGGCACTGGCGCCCAAACATCTGTCCATGCAGCACTGTGAATGTGAATGTAGATGCACGTTTAACCGGCTCCGTCCCTCCGTCCCTCCGCCCGTCAGCTGTTTCTCGGGGGTGGGCCGCCTCGGGGACAAGCAGGTGGTGTCACTGCAGCGGTTCGGCTGCGTGCAAAACGGCATCATCGAGCACGAGCTGCTGCACGCGCTGGGCTTCTACCACGAGCACACGCGCTTCGACCGCGACGATTACGTCAGAATCCAGTTCAACAACGTCCCTTCCTGTGAGAGTCTGGCGCCGTAGTTTTGTGACACGTCCTGCAGGTCCGGTCGGGGTTTAATGATCTTCTTTTTTGCCTGCCAGATATGCAGTACAACTTTGTAAAGCAGGAATCCGACTATCTCAACACTCCGTATGATTACTCATCCGTGATGCACTACGGAAAGTGAGTTCACGTTAACGGAGAACCGAATTCTTTTTTCTCTTACTATAGAAACTCGGGCATGGGCGATATTTTATGATGATTCACGTGTTCATTGTCCAAATTTGCAGAACGGCCTTTGCAGACGCGGGAACAGAGTCCATAATCCCCATCCCCGACTCCTCTGTTCCCATCGGGCAGAGAGTGACTATGTCCGACATCGACATTCTCCGGATCAAGAGACTCTACAAGTGCTGATTTCACTCACATGATAATCAACATTCATGTGACGTCATGATAATAAAACAATTTCATTCAACTCTTTTGTCTTTTACTTGATAGTCAAGTATATATATATATATATATATATATATATATATAGCAATTTTGTGTAAATTTTAAAGTGGCAATCTACACATTTAACGTGTCAAAGAAAATCAACCAGTGAGGAGAAAATATATATATATTTTAAATTGAGTTGCAGGATGTTTCGGTCTCTGCTTCCGTTTTGACAATTGATCTGGTTCGCGTTCAGTCGCTGGACTGTGGATGAAAATTAAAGTGTGACGGTTCAGCTCAATTAGATTTTTCACAGTATTGTTAGTTACACATTCTGATGGTCGATAAAAGAAACCTAAATATTAATTTTCATCCTACTTATATTTGACGTTTTCTTTTGTGAAAACCAACGTGTGAAACGTTGGCAAAACCACACAGAGATACAAAATAGCCCGGAGGTCAAATATGTGGCAATATTGTCATAATTGAGTTCATTTCTCATGTTGAGTTGCTATCGGTGAGCATCAGTGCTGCCGTGCTTCAGGCGACTGTGGGAGGACAACGTTCTCACTGCCGTGATGCACGAGCGCATCGCACGTGCTCCTCCAGCCGGGTTGAACCGCCGAACAGGCCGCGGTTCGGCCGGGCCTTTAATCTTTCATAAAGTAGCTTCAGCTCGTTTCAATCCTTCTACACATGAAATATTTAAAATATTCTTGTTGGGTGAAATATTTAACACTCCTGTGTTCGCGCTGCAAGAAGCTCAGCGGGACGCGCGGCCGTTTCTTGATCAAGACTATTTCCTTGGATCCGGATTTAAAAACAAGCCACCGAGCCGGAGACCCTTGGATTGACTCACAAACCACCGGCACGTTCCGCGGCTGCAAACCAGCCGTCCTCCCACGCGTCTCCTTCAGGACTGTGAGGAAACACCCAGCAGAATGTCTCATCCTCGCCGTGATTGGTCTCCGTAGCGCCTCATGAAACATTAAAACATGAAAGGGAGGCCTGATCCAAGGCGCATTAACGCACGTCACGGTTACTCCGCGACTGCTTTAAAAGCTGTCAGCTCCGCTTCTGGCGGACGCTCTCCGACCTCGCTTTAAAAGGGACGGCGTGCGCGCGCCCAGCGGGCCTCCTGTAGGCTGTCTCTAATAAGAAAGAGGCCAAGCCGCGATGTCACGTTTAGCCAGCCGGCGGGCCGTTGACTCGCAGCTCGCGAGTGGATTGATGTTCCCTGTTAACGAGGTGTGTTGATAAAGTTGCACTTTGCACTGCGGGGAAACACGAGGAGGAATTGCTGAACAAGAGAGTTTGTTTTTGCAAAAGTAGATACGACGATGTGGAACAAACTGACGTGGGAACGTTTTGGTTTTGCAATCTGTGGCGTGCGTCTCCTTTCAAAGCCCGCCCCGGGTCGGCTGCCGAGCGGCCCCCCTCCTGAGAAGGATGAAAGCAGCGCGCGCGAAAAAAAACAAGGGCATTTAGTTAAGGACGCAATCAAAAAGAAGAAACACATTGGCAGAGACAATCTGAGAGTCTTTGTTGTTGCCCCGAAAGACCCCGGTGGAAACGATTAGCGGGCTGAGCGAACGAAGGCAGGCAGCCTCTCAACGTGTGCGTCTGTTGAAGCTTTGTGTCAATTTTCACTTTGCTTCTTTGCTCGCAGATCTGAGGAGCCCGCGGAGTCGCATGCGAACTTCTGAAATGTCTGAACCTGGAAAGGCGAACGGGCGTCTGCTGTCGCTGCACCGCGTTCACAAAGGACCCTTCAGGAGACGGAGAGCGAGGACGCTCCAAAGCCGAGTGACGTTTTCACAAAAATGGCGCCTCTGTAAACAGACCGCCCCCCCCCCGCCGTTGCTCCGAGCCGCGTGGGCGGGGGCCGCGTGGGCGGGAGCCGCGCCGCGTCCGCGCGCTGACGTATCGCAGCTGTCGAAAGCGACGCGGCCCCATTAGTGAACGGAATCAAAGCTGAGACGAAGCCAGACGGGGAGCCGCGAAGGCGATAACAAGGTACTCGATGGAGATGTGAGGGATGGTGTTTGTGCATCACTCCCTGCGTGAGTCTGATGAGAACGGGGACATGGGAAGAGACGGGGGAGGGGGGGGTGAGGAGAGAGAGAGAGAGACGGCGTGGAGAATGACAAAGGGGGGAGAAGTGGTTATGGGAGAAGAAAAAAGGACGGGGGAGATAAGGGGAGACAAATGGAGCAGGCGACAATGAGAGCGGGGGAGGGAGAGGGAGTGACCGGGACGGTAATCAGAGGGGGGAGGCAACACTGGAGCAGATGAATCAGAGCGGCGAGTCGATGGGAGAGGGAGGGAGGTCCCGAGAGGCAGGTTCATCGACAAAGGGCCGCGGGTCTCACGCGCCGCCGATCGCCCGCCCGCCCCTCGGGGCTGAGACGCGTGGCCCCGCGAAGACGGGAGGAGCGGAGCCGTCCTCGACGTCGCCGGGACGCCGCGGCAACCTTAGGATCGGCGGGTTTCAGAAAGTGCATTCGCCTCACAGCGAGGAAACCGCACAATGCGATAATAGAATTGGTGTGTAACCAAGTTAATTTAAAGGTTAAACTTAATTTAACCCTAATAAATTACGGCAACAGACAACTTGGGGCCTTTCGGGCCCTCGAGGGTCAGTTTCCCACTTTGCCTGCTTTGCTAATCAATTCCGTCCTAATAGAGCCGGCGAGGCGCCTCACAGGAATACTGAAGGAGGGTCGCACAGCGTCTTAGTCACGTTCCTGATGATTCAAACTGCTGTGCGACCTGTTACTCTGGACCCAAATGTGCTGCTCAGGACGGTGAGAGGACGTCGTCGCAATCGTGTAATGACAACAGGAGAACGACAGCGGCGTCCTCACAGTCAAAGAATGACTTCAGCACCACGGACAGCGCACGCAGTAACCACCCAGCATCCATGAACCAGTGGAGCCCGTCCAGCCTGCGTGCGCGTTACCCGCTCACGGCGGCTTTGAGGTCGCACGCGAACAAAAATGTTGGTTTGTTAATTATTGTGATTCACGCTCCTTCGCTCGTTGTGCTTGAGAAACGAAAACGGCGTTAACGTCCTTTTACAAAGTGCTGCAATGTGTCGTTTCCTTCTCTGCGTTGGAGGCGATGCCATCGCGTCTCGAGTGCTTACGTGCGCACGAAGCCGCCCTGTGATGCGAGCGGGCGGATCGGCGCGAAAGGCGCCCGAAAGGTGGGATTGTACAATCAGCACCATAGAAATACAACTACAACCTTGAAACGTAGCATTTACAAGTGCTAATTACACAGGTTGTGCGAGTGTGACTCGTGTGAGCCGCGTGGATGACGGCCTCACATCTCCGTGAAGTCCCGCGAGGCCGTTTATTCCCGCGTTATTAATAGCGCCGCTTCCACCGGCAGGACGCCGACTCCTTCAGCCAACCGCCGTCTGCAAATGAGCCCGTGTGCATCGGGATCGTCCAACGCCCGTTTCTGATTTCCTCTCTCTTATTTGTCCCGTTTGGTTTTTTTCTGTGACTGTGCTTAATGAAATGGGCGAACAGACGTCGACGAGATGGCAAAACGTTGAAGCGGTTCCCGAGAGCATTGGCGAGTGATCCCCAAAGCTAAAAAGACGTTTGCTTGTTTTAACTGTTGAATGACACCAAATGTGCTTCTGGAATTCCAGCGCTTCCACATATAGCCGATAATGGGAAGAGATGTTCCCTTTTTCTTAATCTAAAATGTTTCTTTTTTCTGTGTTTACAAGGCGACGTTCCTAAGAGGACGCCGCATCCCTGCAGGGACGTGCTGCACATTTAAGATATTTTCAACTTACTTTACTGTATCGGCCAATTAAAGCCGTATTTAATGCAGCAGTGCTGCGCTTCCAGGATGCGTTCGAGCTCCCTCGTAGAAAACCGGCCGAAGCCACCGAAGACAAAGCTTGAAAAGGTCAAACGTCTCTGACGGCGTTTTAAAAGAGTTGCTCCTGCGATGGCGTGTTTGTGGGCTCCACTCTGCGTTAGCGTAGCTTCACACATCATCTCGCCGCAGATAATTGGAAAACGTCTTCTCGTTGGATGAATAGGGGGGGGGGAATGTGACCGTCCGCTCAGGTCGATGTTCGTCTCTGGAGCTAAAAATACTGTCCACCGGGACAAAATGAATCAGCAGAGCGGCGCAACAGCGCTCCGTAGAGAAGGAGAACCGTGCGGGAAGGTTCCTTTGTGCGTGCGCAGTCGCCGCGCCGGAGGAAGCTTTCACAGTGGAGAGAAATGAGATTGTTTTCTTTTATGTGAACAGCAATAAGCTTTAGCTTCCACCGCATCCCCGACCCGAGGCCCCTCCCATCCCCGACCCGAGGCCCCTTCCATCCCCGACCCGAGGCCCCTTCTCCGTCCGCTCGAGAGAAAACCGGAGTGCGCTTCTCGTGCGCGGCCAACCGGAGAAACGGTCCACCTCCGAAACAGCAAAGAAAAGCCATTTGAGCCGCTGTCTCCAAAAGGGAAGTTCCCCGCCAACAAATCCCCCCCCCTCACAAAAAAACGGCAGCGGTGTGCGACGCCGTGTGAGCGCCCTCGTGCTCTCGGCCCGTTGCACCCGACACAGACTGGGACAAAGGGCGCCGTAGTTCCCCCAGCGGGCCTCGACATGGGGATCTGGGTGCTGCGTCGGCGTATTTTCCTCGTGGCGGAGTGGACGGAGGCAGGCGGACGTGTTCGGAGTCTCCACGTCACTCGGGATCCAGTTGATCATTTTTCATGGCGGGAGGAGCGGTGACGCTGGCGCCAACAGTGTTCGGGCTCATTAGCCTCTTCTTCAGTTCACCGGGTCTCATTATGAACTTTCTCTTCGGTTTCTCCCAGTGTGTGCGTGTGCGTGTGCGTGTGTGCGTGTGCGTGCTTTACAGTGGGTGTTTTTGCATATGTGCAAACTACTGAAATTGAGGAGCTGAAGTTTGGCGAAACAAAAAATATGTTTTCTGCAACCTTGTGAAAACG